ATATATATGTATAATTTTAACTAGAACTGAAGGGGAAATGCAACAGTTTTCAAAACTGTTATTTTCTAGACTGCATAGAAATATGTATATGGACAGTGCTGGAAAGAAAGAAAATGGTTGTGGTAGAGCACTAGAGAATTAGGGGGAATCTTCTTAGTTTTTCCCTTCAAGTCTGCCTTCTAGACCTCCAAAATTGCGTTGTGAATTCTGTAATTAGGCCAAAACAGTTGTAGGTTCTCAAGGAGCGAAAGTCTTGCTTTAGCAGGCTAATCAAGAGCTGTCCCGCTGCCAACTGACGCTGCTCTGCTCACTTTGTGCGTTTTGCAGTCAACAAGCAGATAAACGACAAAGAGCGAGTGGCAGCCGCCATGGAGAACCCCAGCCTGCGGGAAATCGTGGAACAGTGCGTCCTGGAGCCTGACTGACAGCCGCCGTCGGAGCCACTGCGGGTCGCTTGGTGGATTAAACGCTTTGTAAAATGTAAAAGACTCGTGTTTAATACATAGATGATTTGTACCTCAAAGCATTTTCTAAAGGATTACTTTCAAGCAAGTTTTAATTGTAAGGCTTACCTGATTTGTTCAGTGAATAACATTCTCAGGATTTATAACACTTAAGTGATCGGACAGAAAAATATTTTCTAGCTATTATGAGTAAGATTAGTTACTATTTTTCTGATGCCCATTCTGATACAACTACTTTTCATGTCAAATATCTGCTGTGCTCAAATGTATTCAATTTAAATCATTACTCTAAAATAAATAAATCAGATGATTCTTATAATGACTCACCTTAGACTCTTTTATTGAATTGTAAATTCTAGTGTAAATGTCAACTCCTCAAAAATATTTTCGAGGCTTTGTTTTTGCTACCTTATGTAGAATCAGATCTAAAAATCAAAAGGAACCTTTGAGATCAGACCCTGTATTCCTTCAGAGGGAATCTTGGGCTCATTTATGGTGAGGGACAAACGCAGAGTGTCTGATAATGTATACAATTGAAGATCAGTAAGTCCCCCAGCTGACAAGGTGGCACACACCCAGAGTCCCAGCTACTCAGGAGGCTGAGGCAGGAAGATTGCAGATGTAAGGCCAGCCTGAGCAGTTTATCAGGATTCTATGTCAGAGCCGGGTGTGGTGGTGCTCACCTGTGATCCCAGCCCTGGACATGCTGAGGCAGGAGGATCACCATGAGCTCAAGGCCAGCCCGAAATACGTAGTGAGAAGGGCTGGGGATATCACTCAGTGGCCCAAACGCCTGCCTGGAAAGCAGAGGTCCTGACCTCGATTTCCAGTACAAAAACAAAAAATAGACCCTGTCTCAAAAAAAAAAAAAAAAAAAATCTCTGTCAAAGTAGAAAAATAAGGGTAAAGCCCTTGTGTACCTACAGGCACAAGGCCTGGGTTCGATCCCTAGCATAGAAAAAATAAATCCTTCATTGCAGCATCTATCCGGATGTCCTGAGGCTTCCTGAGGTCATGGCATGAGCCAAAGAAGAGGCTCTCTGGGTGTGGCCTGGAGGCCCCTGCCCCTTCCCAGCTCCTCCTTTGCCACTCTCCCTCCTGTCTGCCTTGTCCGGCCAGGCCAGGCCGCCTCTGCCACTGTGGTGCCGTGCTGTCTCTTCTTCAGAACCAGCCCACGCTGGGCTGAAACGTGCGCTGACGGAAACCTCTCGTCTTTCAAGGTGTGGGATGTGTGTTTTGTCCCAGGAAGGAGGGAAACGACTTTAGAGGACATCCTCTAAAGAGGACCTGGGATGCAGGGTGCTATGCGGGAAAGCATAGGCTTGGCATGCTTTAGACTCCAGGTTCAATCCCAGCACCACCAAAGAAGCAACGTAAGATGTTCCCCCAGGCAGGCATGGTGTCCTATTCCTGTAATCCCTGTACTCTAGGATGAAGTTCAAACTCTCTGAGCAACTTAGTGAGACCGTCTCAAAATAAAAAGGCAGGGAATGTAGCTCAGTGCAAAGGCGTCGGGTTTATTAATTATTATTATTATTGCAGTACCAGGGAGTGAACTCAGGACCCTGCGCTTGCCAGGCAAGCGCTAATTCTACTGAGGTATCTCCCTGGGACCAAACATTCTTAATTTATGTGTATTAGCGGTTACTGGTCACTTACTGTCAGGCAGCCTTCAGCATCGCTCCCAGCGGTCTTCACTTCCTGGTACTTGTGCCTCTGGATAGTTGGCTTCGATATTGAATCAGAGCAGGCAGCTGCAGCTGGTTAGGGAAGACCGAGGTGATGGGGGTGGGATTTCTGAGCCTAGACCATAATAGGTATCGTTGCTTAGTCTCTTGGCTTGCTAATTCTTTTCTTTCTTTTTAATTGCTATTTCTGTCAGGATATGGTGCTGTGTCAAATGCACACTCAAGCAGTCTGCTGGCAAATTCCTTCTGGCGAAACCTGAGCATCGCCAGCACCACCTAGCACACCGCAGGAGTCAAGCATGGAGGGAGGGACCCTCTGGCCTCTCCTTGTGCCTGGAGTGACTGGAGCGCTGGCTGAGGCCCTGCACCAGAACTGCCTGGCGAGCTGCACCTGAGTTCCTGACACCGGAAGCAGGGAGAGCTAGTAGCCACTGACTGCTTACTGTTTTCACCACCACGTTCCGGGGGTGATTGGCTTTAAGGCACTAGTGCAGAAGGTACAGCTGCGCCGAGTGCGGCCCTTGTTCCGAGAAGCAAGGGGAAGCAACATCTGTCCCCACCTGTGTTGGGGAGCTGTAGGAAGAGCATGCGGAGAGTTTGGGGATGTCTTGTCTCGCAGGTGGGAGACTTGGGAAACTCGGGCCTGCCCCAGACCCGAGAAAGGACCAGTGGGCTGAAGGCCAAGGTGCAACTCCTGTCTTTGAAACCTGCAGGGCCAAGAAGGCCACAGTCATTACCTAGGATGCAGAGCAGTGCCTGAAGGTTGTTCTTGGGTCCTGCCATAGGCTTGAGATTAGCCAGAGGCCATCTGCAGGGTGCAGACACTGAAGCTGGGAGCATCTAGACAGGTCCTGCCTGGTCCCCAGGGAAAGAGGACAATGACAGCCCGAGTAGGGATGTGTCTGCCGGTCTGTGAGAGTGTCACTGCAAGCCGAGGCAGCAGTTCTGGTCACCAGATAAGCCTGGAGCACACAGAGCCAAGCTGCACAGTGAGACTACCCCTCTGTGGTGTGCTGCCCTGCCAGCAGCCTCTGAGGAAGCTGGGGACTTGAGAAAAGGGGGGCCAAGGAGTGGGAGGCCGTCCCTGTTGTTCTCTGGAGGTTAAGCTTGGGGCAAGCTCAGAGTAGCAAAAGGACTTAATGCCAAGTGTGGGGCTTGGATGGTTAGAGGTGACTGGATACTCTTTTTTTTTTTTTTCCCTGTGGAGCCGGGGATTGAACTCAGGCTCTTGCCAGGCAAGTGCTTATTCAACTGAGCTCTCTCCCCAGCTGTGGATACTTTCTTGAAGTGAGATTGCATGACAACGAGAGTGGGAGGGGCTGGCAGTGTAGCTCAGGAACAGAGCACACCATGTCAATTTCTTTTTTTTTAAATTTTATTTATTTATGTGTGTGTGTGTGTGTGTGTGTGTGTGTGTGGCCAGCTCAGCCCACCAGGGGGCGGCCCTGGCTGGCATGTGGTGCTGGGGGATTGAACTGTGGTCCCTGTGCTTTGCTAAGCTTGTTCTAAGTAGGTGCTTTAGACCACTGAGCCATCTCGCCAGCCCCACCATGTCAATTTCTTGCTCTTAGAATACTTAGTGTCTCCTCCTTTTCTTCAGCTCTTTAAAAATCTGTTCCACATCATACAGAGGTAATGAGTTGTTTCTAAGTTTTAGATTTTTATACTTTCTTGAAATTTTTCTAATTTTTATTAAGATACGGATTTTATTTTAGTTTTTCTAATATTTTGAGATGGGATCTCGTTGTTGCCCATGCTGGCCTCAAACTGCTGGCCTCAGGTAATCTTTCTGCCTCCATCTCCTGAGTATCTGGGACTACAGTATGAACCATCATCCCCTGCTTGTGTTCCTAATTCATAGTTATTACTGTAATCCTTTCTTTCTTTCTCTCTTTCTTTCTTTCTTTCTTTCTTTCTTTCTTTCTTTCTTTCTTTCTTTCTTTCTTTCGTATTTTGTGCAGGGTCTCACTACGCAGCTTGGACTCACAGCCTCCCCAGCACTGGGATTACAAGCATGCACCACCACACCTGGACTCGTTAGGGGCAGGGCCAGCACCACATATCATGCCAGGGATCAAACTCCAGCCCCTGCACTTGCCTAAGCAGACAGTCCACTGAGCTATCTCGCTGGCCCTTATAATCCTGTCTTTCTAAATTACAACTCTGCTAGGAAAAGGATCTTAGGACCAACATTTAATTTATTCATGGCAGGGCTGGTGAGATGGCTCAGTGGTCTAAAGCACCTACTTAGAACAAGCTTAGCAAAGCACAGGGACCGCGGTTCAATCCCCCAGCACCACATGCCAGCCAGCCCTGCCCCCTGGTGGACTGAGCTGGCCACACACACACACACACACACACACACATAAATAAAATTAAAAAAAAAAAATTTATTCATGGCAGTCTGTGTCCCGGCAGAAATAAGGGTCTATCCCTGCTCCATATTCCGGCACCTAATGCCATATGGTCACACGTGTGTCTTTGGACAGTTCTGTGCTTCTACGTGACATTGTCTGAGGGGACCCTAGGACTCTTGGACAAGGGTCACGTGACAGTATTGGGACTTAGAAAACAATACCCAGAAGTATGGCACCTTAGCATGTTCAGTTCCTTGAACTAAAGAGACTGAAGGCCTCAAATGCAGTCAGTCTCCCAGTCTCCCATTCCTCTTTGTCCTCTGAAGCAGTCCTTGAGGTGTGTGTGTGTGTGTGTGTGTGTGTGTGTGTTACCAGGATGAAACTCGGAACTCAGGAGCTTGCACTTGCCAGGCAGGCACTCAAGCCGCTGAGCTATCTCCCAGCCTCTGAAGCACTCTTGACACCAGAATTTCTCTTCCCCAAGGCAGATCATAAGAGCTAGAGGCCTTGTCCACCTAAGCAGCCATGAGACACAGCCTTGTAGCCTCCTAACCTTTCCCTGTCACGCTGTACAGGAGCTGACCCTAAGGAAACTGCCTCGGGAGCTCCGGCGGGATCTAAAGAGATAAGCCAGTTTCTATTAGATTGCCCCCTCCTGATTTCTGTCCACTCTTCCTCAAATCTAAGCATACAATTAGTTTTCCTGCGTCTTTGGGCCTTCATTTCTTTGTCTTTTTCTTTTTAAAGAAGTGTTTGTCAGTCCATGCTTGCAGTACGTAAAGATCATCTTCAATGTGGGGAATGCGCATGTGTGCTTAGTTGCTTGTTAGCGGCAACTGGTCGAGTTTCCGCTGGGTGCCATTACTGGGGGAAACACTAGGTGGCAGCAGAGCACGATGCTTTAGTGATGGCTTTGCCCCCTTCTCATGGTCCCAGGGGACTCCCGTACCTGAGTCAGGAACCCTCTAGTCAGCTATACAGGTGGGACCCACCCCACTGGACTCCGCAGTGTGCACCGTTGCGCTGATGGGTGATGATCATTGAAGATTCTTAGATGTTGAATTACTTTGCTAACAATTATTACTCATTTTGAGCCTTGCTTGACACCTTGCTGACTTGCCTAATAACAACTGATACCTGCCAAGAGGTGTTTCTACCCTACATTGATACTGTTCGTTTTGTTTTTCTTTGCAGTATGGGGAATCACACTCAGGACCTTGCGCTTGCCAGGCAGGCGTTTATGCCTCTGAGCTGTATCCCTGGTCCCCTGCATTACA